TATCTGTAACATTAGCAGAGTAATTTCATACACTACTATTCTAACACTTCTTTTTATGCCGAACAGTATGAGAAACAAAGAAAGCTGAGAAGTATTTATTACAGTACTTGTTAATACAGGCTTTTATTTAATTATTTAACTAGATTCTGGACAAAATGTAGAAAGATGTTACAGTAATTAAACTAGTGTCACAGTATAATTAAAACCAGATTAATATTTGAGCTCTCCGGTGGCCTTAGTAGTTTTTGTAAATGGAAAAAGAACCCCATCACTGAAACGAAGTGCAAAACACTGATGATACTATTCATTACTGTGAAATGATGATGCTTGAAGGACCTCTTTCTCATGAATGTGAGGATGGCTATTTGCAGAAAAATACTGAAAGCATGTATGGCATCAGATTAGTTGGTGTGCTACGGGGAAGCATGCTAGTAGTACAGATGTAGCGTTTTAAACATGAACTTTTGCTGGTAGTTACTAATGTTAGTAAAAGATTAGGTTATTTCTGTTTTGGAAAATTTTGCCCCGGATGAATTCACTTCTTTAATGTTTTAGAATAGTTTTGGGTTAAGAAGAAAATAAAACCTTAATTCTAATAGCATGATTAAAATTCTATCAGCTTTGTTGCTTGGGAATTTTCTTTCAAATGCATTTGTAAAGTAAATATTCCTTATTGTTGTTAGCAAAACTTCCAAACCTCAGTATTTAAAGGATGATTTCAAATGGCAAAAGAATATCAACATTGTAAAATCCTATTCATTCTAAATGTTACTTGGAACTTTATTCTCATGTATGATAGATGATGTACAAATCTAAATGGATAAGCTGGAGTTATGCTCTGTCAGGGAATTGTGTTTTAAACAGTTAAAGTGGTGTCTTGGCCAACCCACAGACTGTCCAGCGATATCAATCTATTAAGAATCATCATTATTTCTCATTTCATAGAAAGGTGATTATATAATTTTTTTTCTTTAAAACATCAATTTTTAAGATAGAGATCAATCAGGTGCATATAATTTAGTCACACAATTTTCCTGCTTTTTAATGAAAACCGAGACTAGTCAAGGTTAGCCAGATTATGATACTACATGCAGCATTGTGCATTACAGCTCTACCATATGAAAGATGCCTAATTCTCCAAATGGTTTTATGAATTCTTGTATTCTTTCAAAGTATCAATCTGTGTCACACTTCACCTCAAACCCATATCCCCATTTACTATTTTCCTTGCTCGAGTGGTTCTCTCCATTCTCCGAGATCTTCTGGAATTCCTCTTTGTATCTGTTGGTGCTGCTCGTTGCTAATTGCCTGTCATGGAAATCTCGGATCCCTGGAGCCTCTGAGGGTCACAATGGGTAATTCAATCACAAATGAGCTGCTGGGTTTCCCAGGCTGCGATCTCTTCTCACTGCTGTTGGAGCAGGAACCCTTCTGACGATATCCCCAGCCCAGGTCCGGTGTGTTGTCTCTTGTTCATGAGAGCTTTGGCTTTAACACAAGCACTTTAACCCAAATAAAAGTTAGATGTCTATGTACCGTAGCAAAAATCTGGAGGTTCAAATTTGGGCAGTGCTTATTTGTCCATGGTTTGGCTTGTAGCTTTTATAATGTGCCATGAATTGTGTGGCTGTTTCACAGAGCTCAGTTGCTGTGGCTTCCATTCACCCTTTTGTCTCTTAAATACAGAGGCTCACATTTTCCATATGATAACCCTCATTTTCTTCAGAGGCAGTTGAATCACTTGGTAGTTTCAGATAGTCTGTGGTAAATGCTGTGTTCCTTCAAAAGGCAGGAGTAAATGGAAGAATAAAAAGTGACTTTGTCCGTGTTAAAATTGTCTCTTAAATCTGAGCTTGTGTTGTCTGACCTTTGTTCGCCATTACGTTACACCATTACATGCCTAACACCTTGTTTGTAATACTAAGGAGGAAAAGATCTTCTAGAAGGGGTATGAACACTGACATATAGAGATGGCATTTAAATCTAGCTAGCTGAGACCATTTTCTAAGTTCACCTGTAAGCAACTGATCTGTGCCTGGGGTAGCAGTGCTCCGTGTGTACGACTGCTCCATCCAGATGGCAGCAGTGAAGAAACAAGAGCAGCATCCCATGTTCCTCCAGGAAGTGCCGCCTGTTCCAAAATTCTGACTTTTCCTTTTTTTCTTTCTTTTTTTCAAAGTTGAATTTTCATTTTCTCTGCACATGATTACTTTTCTTCAGGCAAGAAGAACCCATGGCAGGGGTTTGGAACTAGATGATCTTAAGGTCCTTCCCAACCCTAACTATTCTATGATTCTGAGATGTTCTTATCCACAAATGTTAGGTATGGCTCTTCTGTGCATTGCCCACATCACAGGAGTTTTCTTTTCAGAGGTATAAAAGTATGAGTTGAGCACCTGCCTTTGCCTTCAAGCTTCATGTGAAGTTTACTCACAACTTTAAGCCTTGTCTTGGAAGGAAGATGTTTAGACTTTAAACTCTTAAATCTCTACTCTCTGCTTAACCTCTCACCAGGGGGCTCTTGAGAGGCAAAGAAAGAGAATTTCCATCTTGACACACAAAGAAATAAATGGGAGGTGAAGGGTCTTAAAAAGTCATACCTAATTTTAGTTCTGCTCATTTTGAGAAGAAATTCTCATGCTTAGAGTTTAATGCAGGTCTGAATACTTTAGCCTGATAGATACCAGGAGACGTGAGCTCTGTTACAAAGAAGCATTAAGTGTGTGGGTGTCCCCAGAGAATGTGCCCATTTTTTCTATGGGGCACACAGAAACAAATATTTTCCCTATTTACTGTCATGCTCGGTGAGTGTCTTCTGGGCATCCAGAGGTGAGTTGTTCACAGACTAAACCTGGTTGTTAGCACCAGCTGACTGGGCCTATGGAAATATGATTGTCATTATGCTTTTTCAACAAAAATCAATCTATGAGTAGCATTTTTTTAAAAATCCAATACACCTCATGTGAAACCCTTTAATCAGAAGACTTTGTGACTGAATATTGGGTTTGTTTGCTCATTTTAGTGTATTTGGCAAAAAAACACCAGTTTATAGTCTAACTCAAATAAAAATAGGCCATATATAGTGCTTTACTTCCCATAGAAAAAGAGAGAGGTGTTTCTCAAGTTCCCGTGCTTTCTCTTCATCATGCTAGCATGTGACAACTTTATGCTTAATAAAGCAAAGTATAAAGTACTCAGTCGTGCAACCAGCATTATATTTAACTCATTTTAAGTTTATCCCCCCTGAAATGTAGCATCATTTCTGGCTGAGCAATGAATTTTTAACAACCCACACAATTAACCAGGGATTTCAGAAAAAGCCTCTCAGCAGCCACTGGTCCTCCCAGCAGTCAAAAATATATAGTTTTTAGCATCTATGCTAGGTGGTGGGAGAAACAGAGCATAAATATGTATGTCTTCACCTATATACATATGTATATATACTATGCATTAAGTCTTATGCTACAGAAAAGTCCATTTAGGATGATTGTGCATGCCGGTATCTGTCAGGTTGAAGTAGACCTTACAGGGTGTATGGGTGTATGGGTTTTTATGCACATCGAGATCAGACTACATTAGGATACAAACTGCAAAGGATAAGTTTCCTGTAGTTGTCAAATCCATACATATTCAAGATGCTCAATGTTAGTCGGTCAAACTCAATCCTTAAAAGAGGTGCATAAAGATTATATTTGCGCTGTCTGTGCTTTATTGTAGTATAATAAAAGAGTTGTGACAAATGTCTATTTAGACCAAAACTTAGGCACAGGAAATAATTGGGTAGAAGCTGGTATAACTATACAAATACATTATACTTGGGTGTAATGTATTTGCTATCTCTGTGTATATATTTAGTATTTTTTAATAGCAGCCAGAAACTGCAATGCAATCTTGGTATCTTTGTGTATGATACTTTACACACACAGGACAAACCGTCCATTCCTCACTACATCTACACTTTATGTTGTGCAAAGGACTGTATAATATAGAGTCAGGAGCCTGAGTCTGTTTTTATGAAATGCAGATATTTCACTTCCACATGGGTAGGTAAATAATTTTATTTCTCCAAGTGTAAAATTTAAGAGATCAGATGTCAGAAAATTTAATCACTGAATTTTAAATTGCAACTTACATCTTTAATTTTCGAAGCAAAAGAGACAGATGTAGCTGTACTGCTGTATCGCATATATTGTAAAATGTATTGAAATCATGCATATGCAGGGAGACAAATGAGAGAACTCCACCATCCAAATATTAAATTACACATTTTGAAGCAAAATAGCGTCTTAAGTGTATGTGTGTATAATGCTTTCTGTCACTGGGTTGCTCTCCCTGATGCAGTTAGACAGAATCTGTATTTAGTCAGAAATCTTTCAATAGAATGGGCTACCAGATGGGACCAGTAACAATGCAGAGAGGCATCGAACCACCACAGACATTTGGTGCTTAGAATAATAAAAAGACTATAAAATTAGATTAGTTGGGTCTAATTTGGAATTGGTATATTCCCTGTGCACTCTCACAGCTCTCGGGCAGATAAAGCCTGGAGATTTAGTATTGTCAGGACAGAGGACTCCAACTTCCAGTAAACGGAAAAAAAGGCATTCTGGGAGGTCACGGAGGGCAGCCCAGTGACCTCCAATGATTTACAGGCCTTTAGCTTAATGAAATTGTTTCAGTGACATGCCGGTAAAAGCTCATAATGGATTGGATGCCCCAATGTAATGAAATTACTCCCTTCTGCCTTTAAAAAAAAAAAAAAGAAGCACAATTAATATTTACTGAGACCTGCCAGGCTCCAGTGCGCGGGAGCGTGCGGCGCTGTCAGGCAGCAGCAGCACCGCCAGCGCAGCGTGGCAGCCGCCAGCCCTGCGCCGGGTGGGAGCAGGCGCTGCGAGGGGGTGCAGGGACACCTCGGACACGGGGAAGCCCCAGCCTGGTGCTCCCAGACAGCTCTGCCCGTCCCCGCCAGCATTCATCCTCTCCCTTCCTTTCTGCAGGCAACTGGACAACAACCAGATCAGCTGCATCGAAGATGGAGCCTTCCGAGCCCTGCGCGACCTGGAGATCCTGTGAGTTGACTTGGTGCTGTGCTGGGGCGGTGGGGGGGCAGCTCTGCCCGTGCTGCAGTGCTGGGGGAGCCTGGGGGGCTTTATCCTCCCTTCCCACCTCGCACCAGGGCTGTAAGTAGCAGAGTGAGATCTCACGCTTCCCCCAGCCTGGGGTTACTGCTAATTAAACCACAATAGACGACTTCTATACTGCTGTTCCTGAGGAATGGGGATATTGCCGTGCTTGCTGCTGCGTGGAACAGATGGGGTTCAGCAGTATTCAAAGTGCGTCCGAGCTGTGCTCTGCAGCCAGCAACCTGGCCAGCTCTGTGTAATGTTGGGGAGCGGATGGGTAACAGGTTCATGGGGAGCAACAATATTATGAGATATCTGACGATCGCCCTAGACAAAAAGCTGTTTAAAAGGTGTTTGGTATGTAAGAGGGAGGAGAGACAGGCGTTTGGCAGGCTTGTTCAGTGCAGTCATTGGCTTCTGGGGAGGATCCTTCTCTGAGGGCTGAAATAACACCACGTTGTGCTCTTCATGTACCACAAACTTTACACATCGGCTGTTAAGGCTGCGGCACAGACCAAAAAAAGAAAAAAGGATTTGACAGTGAATGCTGACTCTAACAGAGAAAAAGCACATTGGATTTAGAGCACCGTCACTGTAATGTAAAATCCAATATTACCCAGAACTCAGTATCTGAGTAGATAATTTGCTTATTACTAATAGTTACTTGTTCACTCAGAGACTTTTTCTGGGGTAGGTTTTGACTATATGAACTGATACAAAGCTTTCCCTGTTACCTGAAAGTTAACACTGCAAAGCTGAAAGTGTTAATACCTGTGCAAGCACACAGTCCTCAGCCAAAATGGAGAGGGAGCCGGGGTGGTAGGGAGCAGACACCCTCAGCATCTGAACTGCGGCTGGTCCAGCACTGAAGCAGTGTATACTTAAATACAGCAAGGAGGGCCTGCTCAGGCTGCTGGAAACCTTGCCTTTAAGTCACAGGGGCTGAAACAGCAAATGTTACATGGTTAAAGGAAGCACCTGCCTCACACAGACCTGGCACCTGCAGACTCTAGACATTGTCTTTGGCTTCTGAAAGCTGGCAAAATAACCGGGTATATAGGCAGTGCTGTGCCACACACCGCAGTGGCTTGAAAACACAGCTGATGTTTCCCCAGGGAAACATCCCCAAGGGCTCTACATAGCTTGCACTGATGCTCAAAGGAGTTTCGCTGTCAGTTTCCGCAGAAGGAAGTTCAGTTTTCTGAGGGACCAGGGAGGGGTGGCTGTGTGTGTTTGTCCATCACAGTCAGCTGGGCCCCTCTGTGTCCCAGGCTGGGGTACTGCTATGGATCAGAGAGTGTGTGTCGCTCATACTGAGCTAACAGTAGGTACCTGCAGAGTTCCTCATCTGGCAACTTATCAAGAATATTGTTTGATTTCTTTATGAATAGCACTTTTCAGGAAAAGTAACGTGTTACCACTGTGAAGTTTTGCTTGTCTGTCAGATTGAAAAGTCTGCTGTGTGGGGAGAGAAAACAAGGAGAAAGAAATCATGAACACCTCTAAAACTGAGGCTTTTCTCTTTTTTTGATGGGCAGATTTTCCCTATCTGCAGCGAGTGAATCAGACAGACTGTGCTATGGCTTTCAGTGAAATAGTCTGGATAATAAATGAGCCTTTTTTGTAATATACCGACTCTGCAGGCTATGAAAAAGTTGCTGGGAGTGCATTTCTTCACCCCAGAATGTATTAAATGTTGAATTAGTTTATTTACTGCTCTGCTTTTAATCAGTTAATTCTATGCCAGTTATTTGTGGGTGGGAGAAAAGGGGAATATATAAAATACATCCTAATCAGCCCTTTAATGCATTTTTAATTTTCAGCACAGACATACTGCTACAGGAAAAATCAATCTTATTTCTAAAAGATGAGAAAATAGATTGATAGTATCTATTTCTAGAGGTATTTTTCTTGCAGTCACAAAATGGGAGTTTTCTATTTCCAACCTAATCTGATTTTTTTTCCCAAGTTTTTCTTCAAAGTTTGAGTATTTAATCTCTCTATCAAAATTAATTAGCTTAATGCCCCAGAGAATATCATATCTTCAGTTGTAAAAGTCAGAAATGTTAAAAAAATAAAGCAATTTGAACCATCAAAGCATATTAAGTGAAACTAAATTTCATCATTTCAGACCCACAACGTATTTTATGCAGATATGTTTTAACCTGTAATGCAATGTGTAGGAAATATTTAATGGTTCTGGCAAAAATTACTCTAATTTTCTGCTTGGAGAGTTTGCAAAAGTACCAAATAATTTATTTCCTCTTTAGCTTCCTGAAAACTTGTGACCTTTCTGGTACCAAACGTTTCCACTTCTGCATCTTTTCTCTGCACACCCACCCATCTACAGAGCTCTAAATTCTGCAGATAACTCAGGGCACCAAATGCTGAGCATTACTTTAACAAAACCCCAAACACTTTCTTTAAAAGCATTTTGGTTTCTGGATTGCACTCTTCATTCACCTTGAATTCCTCAAAACCCAGGAGTGCGAAGAGCTTGGTGATTTGGTAAGATGTAGGAAGAGGAGAAAGTTGTGCAGTTGTCCTTCAAACTGAAGAGCTCTCTATGGTCCACATTAGTTATTTCTTCTATCAACAAGCTGTTTCCACTCACTACTGTTATTTTCTTTTTCCACATTATGAATACATCCCTGTAGCAACAAATAGCAGAGAGCAGAGATGGAAACAGGGCTGAAATTTGTGGCTAATTTCAGTACCTGACCTGGTGCAATGAGGTGCTAACCTCAGCTGGAGCTTGGACCAGCCCAAGGTGCTGTCTGCAGCTCCCAGAGCACACACAGTCTTTTGGTCACTGCTTTGTTTATGAGCTTCCATATTCCAATTGTCCTAATCCCTGATCCTATGATCTGAACTATGTAGACTGTAATTAAGGTGCCAAGTGCTACTGGTGACTGAGTTTTGGGTTAAAAAGCTGCAATAGTGTTGACTATGAAGTGCTTTGGTGCCTTCTATTGATTGTCTTTGCCCCTGCAGCAAGGTGAAATAGTATCTGAGAAATTACATGCAGCACTGGCATCCTTCCTTAAAAAGCTCCTGGTATTTGCAGTGGGTCTTGGTTTGTTCATTTGTCAGATTTTCTGTATTATTCCCATAAAGGTTTTGCCTTTAATCTGTTGCTAAAATCAGGATTTTTCTTGTTGACATATTTCCTCTCCCCCTTTCATAAGATGATAAAGCAGATTTCAGTGGGTTTCTTCTTGCATTCCAAGGCAGAGAAAGGTGTGTGCGACCACTGAACCAGTAACAAAATGGAAAAGGAGCATGCTTTTTTGCAGGGGTGGCACAAGTTATTAACTAACTTATGGCCTGCTGGAAATGTGCAGAAAAGTAGAAGAAAATGAATGTGGAACTTTACCTAACTATAGTGTCATTATTAGTAGGAGGTTTTCTGCTCTGCTTAATTTTTAGTTATGTCCTGTGGCAGTAGTTGGCAATAACAGTATTACTGAGAAATATGTATTAGTGTAGAACTTTGAAAGATTATTAAAAACCTCACAAAACCATACAAAAGACCCCAGACCCTAAAGTCCTCGAAATAATTGTGCCATATTCCTTAACGCATGTGCAATGCAGTGTTCATATCCTTTGTAGGCTAGAGATATGTCCAGAACTGTATTTCCAAATGTCCAGAATTTCACCTCCAGTCTCTTAGGGTACATGAATAAAAGGAATTTGAAATTCCTTGAAATGAAGGTGGTTCAGCAGGTTCTTTGGAACTGGGTAAACTGAAGTGAATGGATGTGCTATTATCATTAGACTGGAAGGGCTGAACAGCACTTGTGTTTTTAGGACCCATTGGACAGTAAGATACAGAACTCAATTTAGCAAAAAAAAGCCTTTACTTTATTTATTACTGGCTTGCCTCACGGGGGTAGCTTGAAACCTGCACGGTGACATGGCAGTTGTGCCATGTGGATAGGAGAGAGAGAATCAGGAGTCGCTGTTGGCAACTTAGATGGAGTGTTCTCCTTGGTTTATATTGTAAAGGTGGTTTTCACCCTACTTTGAGTGATAGCCGGAGGGTCTGGAGCATGAACACATCCTATTCATTGCAGATTTTCTGTAAAAAAAACAGATTTTGCACCCAAAAGTTTTTACCATACCAAGAGCTAATCCTAGGAGGTCTGTGGAGAGTTTTCTGTTAAGGCAGAAAATGATTTCTTCCTGTATAGAGCAAGTACGGGATGATTTGGGGGTTTGGTTGTTGTTAACCATGTTAATTGTTGTGTGTCTTCCATATCTCCCAGCTTGAAAAACCTCTTTTCCTGAGTTTCACCCTCTTTTTTAAATGAATGAGCATTGATTCTGTCATTGAGTCTTCAGCAATGAACTACACATGCAGGAACCCACCCTTCGGCTCTGAATTGTGGCGATTCACTCACCAGTAATATTGGTGCAACTGCAGCCACCCAAATGTTCCCTGCGACTTTAAGTTGGGACTTCAATTCCAAGTGAGCCCTAAATATTTGATCTAAAAGAAACAAGTTAGTGTTTGCATACCTAACCTTTTCTCTGCAAACATTTGTGCCTCCTCTTCCTGCTCCTCAGAAGAGCACCCAGCTCCAGCCCCACACGGTGCCTTCCTTTGGTCTGTGCCTCGGCACAGGGGACCTAGCATGCTCTGCCAGACTAGCTGTGGTCTGCAACCCCTGGTCGTTGTCTGACACATCAGCCGTCCGAGCATTTTACAAGCAGAATAGGCTCATTCATCCTTACTTTATTCAATCCAATATGTTCCTGTTACAAAGGATTCTATTTCATAAAACATTTAGTAACCTGTGCAATTTCTGATAGAGATGTCGGGGTGAGCGTGCTTGTAATGCGCACTACCTTTAGTCATAGAAACTTTATTTTGTGCTACAGCTGCTGTTTAATTGTTCCCAGGGTTGCCTTGTGTATGCTGAGCACTCAGTTATGTAGTCACT